CTTAGAAGTCGAGCTGAGGGGGAATAATTTTCTCGGATTTAAACCTTAACAACTTTATTTTAGGAAATGGTAGTGACCAAACAACTGAATTTCTTTGTACTTTGTAAGTATATGTACATCTTTATCGTTCAAATTAAAAATTTAGTACCTAAAACTGGTCAACCTTCAATCAAAACTACAGGAGTACGTAATGATTGAATTTGAAATAGCTAAACCTAGCGGGAATCTTGAAACACACCTCAGAAAATATGAAAAAAATAATAGACCACCCTCTGTACTGGTTTATTATTATTATYATTATTATGATTTATTTATTTATTTGTGTGTGGTGTTTTTATATTCTCTTTATCAGGTTGTTTATGTTTTGAAGCTCTTTTTTTTTACTTGCAACTGAAAAAAAACATTAAAATGTTTAAATATTTTCCAGTTGCAAGTATAATATCTTAGCTTTTGACACACTAGTCTTTTTTATTCTGTTGATTGTTCCTYCTAAATGAAAACCTTACTTTTTTACCTCAACATTATTTAAATAATTGCATTAAAAAAAGACATGCGACAAACTAATTAGGCAAACACGKTTTTTAGTCTTTTGGTAGCCTACTACACCCTAGTAGTTACTATTAAACACTGACTAGTAGTAATTGTTTAAAAGACGGATGGAAATGACTGTACTCTAAGAGTCAAAGCAACAGCGTGGCGTGACCTGGAAAAACTAACGAAATGTCTCTTCGGAAAATGTGGGGAAGAAATAATCGCCAACTTRTATGCAGTACTGATACGTATAGATGCGAAACCTTAATATGGCACACATATGGGCGTAAACGTAACCTATGCGGTCTAGAAGTAAACTAGTTACAATTTACACTTATATGATCAGCAATGSCTATATCACTCCTAAATTGTATCTCTATAAAAAAAAGCTTAATGATTATGAGCTCTAAAAAAAAATCTAAATGTTACATATCAAAATATAAAAAGTCCTAAATCCTAAAAAAAGGTTTCATCTATTCGTCTTAAATGTTCGTGCTATGTTGAGTGAGCACGGAATGGGAGCTTTCTGCATTTTTTCCAATCATAGTTTGTTCATAGTTTGTTCTAGGGTGTTGACTGATGACTGATAAAATCTTTTGAATGCACGAGCTTTTGCAGGAAAATTTTGCTTTTGATCACCGATAAGTGACATATTATTTGTAACCATTTTGTGACTCACACTCTGGTGGTAGCTATGTTGTTTCCTGTGTTCGTGTTTTTTCGAATCTCACGCTTCAAGAAATCACTTGCTACTACCTGTATTTAGAGCCTATATTGAAAATTTTCATGGAAGTTGCAAGAGACCATGTCACAGAACACGTTTTTCCGAAAAATGTTGAAAAAATTGTAGAAGCCAGTTTTACTTTTCCCTCAACAAAAAAAATGAAATGTTCAAGTTGGACGAGGGGTTGTCACACGTAAAAAACGCTTGTGCAACTCACAACATTTTTCTGCGCGACACATGTTGCACGAAAAAACCTAGTGTGACACGACCTTCAGTCAAAAAAAAAATATATTATACATAAGTATGTTTTTACTGATCTGCTGTCGAATTCTCCCAGAATATGTGCTCTGTGCTCGGTTAGTGCGTGAAGAGAAAATGGGATGCGTGTTTTGTCTATAATTTTACTTGCTTTAAAAATATCACCATTTTGTAACTCAAACTGGTGGTAGCTATGCTCTTTCCTGTCGTCGTCTTTTTCCGAATCTCACGCTTCGAGAAATCACTTGCTACTACCTGTAGTTAGAGCCTTTCCGAATCAGTAATTATTCTACTACCCGGACTTCTTAACGATCTTGTTTTATCAACGCGCTTTTTTGTTAACAGGTATTTAATTGTCGTGTTTTGACATCAGTGCTTGCTATATCATGAAATATTTCAAATATCTCTTTACGGTCAATGATTATAGCACATCACCTTGTGATTCAATTACGCGTGATGTCGTTACGGTCGATGAATCTCTCAAAAGAACTATTACTATATGTTATGTCGAACGGCAGATCTACGCGTTAGTGCGCTCTGGTTATCAGACAGTGCAGAGTCTTCATTTGGTATATCGACGATCCATCGATCCATTTGCGATATTGTTCAAGGTATGCTTATCTATACTAATGGTGTGAGACCGATGTTCGTTACATTGATTAGATTAGATAAAATATACATTTAACTAATGAAACAATTTACCACAATCAGAGACAAATAAGTTGTGTAACAAAACGCAGAGCCTTTTTTATGTTTTATAATGAACATAATCATGAAGCGTAATATCTTTTTTTAATTCTTTTTCATCACTTCAAATTAGAATGGCATCTTCACTTACTGTCACAGCATTCCTTGTATTTACTATGTACCATCAAGTACTGGCGGCGGGCAACCGCGACGCCTATGCAAATGACATTAACAACTGCCTGTTTAAATACTGGCCACCTAATGTACTGAAAGGAAATGTCCCCTGCCCGGGCTCACAGCTCTGTTACTCGAACATGAGCAAAGATCCAGCACAATTTGTCGTTTGCTACAATACCAAGACTCTCACTCCAGATTTTACCTCGCATGTGATAGTTGGTGATCCCGCGGCTTCACGAGCGGGCAGGAAAGATGAGTGGTATGACGAAAAGGGAGTGTTTGGTATGTCGTGACTTCCAATATTTGATTTTACTTTTGAATGCATGTTTTTGTTTCATCTTTTCTTCTTTACACTTGATTTGTATACTTTTCCGACGAGCGTCTCGAAACTTCATTCCAGAAGAGAGGGGATSAATTCTTCACCTGGTCATTATTAACAAGCCTTAGTACACCATATCAGTGTGTCCACTGACGTCATAAAATGATTAATTAATTCTTAAAAGAAACGAAAAAAACACTCGTTTGTAAATTAGACAGTGTATCTTGTATGATATAAAACTAGAAAAAAAAAGCTTGAATATGCGTGAAAAACGTTTGAAAGCGGAGTAGGTCGTGAACATAAAAGATTAATATTAATGAGGTGAATTGATGGCCGATTGTTCTCCTCGACGTTCTCATCGTCCGGCAACTCTTTTGATTAATTTTTGCTCGGGAACTTTCGTTCTGTAGTCGCTCTTAGTACACACAGCGATATATATATACTTGGGATAAGTTAGTTTCGTCTTAGGCTCAGTCTCCAGCCGTCGGGATTTCGTGCGCCCGCGATACTCTCTCCCCTGAGGGCTGGGCGCATGGGGTTCGAAACGTGTCGCGCATGTCCGTGACGTTTTTGTGTAATTAGCATATTATGACGCAACGGAAGTGAATTTTTCAGTTAACRGAAGTGAAATATCTGACAACAGCCGTAAAGGTTTTGCTACAAGTTGGGAAGTTATGTGAAATGAAAACTTCGCGAAGTAGCGATATAATGTAATAGTTAGCGCTTTAAAAAAGAGAAAGGAATGGAAATTACCCCAAGTAAAACATGTGCAGGGTTTAATAATCCAAATGGATGTATTATCTGCCAGAAAAACGAGCAAAATACACTAGTGGCGCTGTTTGAAAAATAAGAGATTTGCCCGAGCCAGTATAGGAAGAATAACAAGGACATCTTTTCCAAGAACAATCTCTTTAAGAACCTTTTGCTATATTTCTCTAAATTCGTCCAAGCTAAACGAATTCAGAGCCTTCAAACAAGCACTTTCAAAGAGAATCTCAAACGACGAATTGTACGCCATTTTGTTACACTGCTGCCTGCTAATTTATTAATGATATGCCCCTGAAAATATCGGTCAAATGATTGGTCAAGACTGACAATAGCGAACCCCATGCACCCAGCCGTCAGGGGAGAGAGTATCGCGGGTTCACGAAATCCCGACGGCTGGAGACTGAGCCTAGTTTCGTCTCAGCTCAGTACCGTTATCATTGTGTCTACACAAATTAGGAGCGAGTTGTTTACATGATCCGTTACMTGCTCTTGGAGGAAATACTTTACCCATAGCCAACTTAACTCACGGATGTGATACAGTCTTTTTTTTGAGTCTTTTTCTTTTGTTATTCTTGTATGTTTTAGTTTATATCAAGATATATGAATTCATATGACAGTTGTGTTTCTATATGATGATTTTTTTATTTGCTTAATTTACTGATGACACGTTGCCTGGTTGGAAAATGCTACGTCATCGAAGCAAATACCCCAAGGAATCATGGGAATTTTATCAGGAGGTTCTACTACTATTTCAAGTATTCAAGTATTAGAACCATTCTCGTACCCAGACCCTACTCTTACGGCTGAACGTGTTCGCATAACCCTATTTTTAAATGATAGAGTCATTTTCATCCTTCTGTGAAACAATTACTACTAGTCAGTGTTTAATAGTGTCTAATAATTATTCTAATAAAAGAAAGCAATGGGTGTAGCGTCTACTAGCTTCTATTAGTAATGTATACAGAACGAGAGAGCGTGTTGTATCGGGTGATAAAGATCCGATATAATGTTTTTGAAAAATTGATCGAATATCTTGGTGCATTCATCGATTATCAGCGGTAACGTATGTCGCCGTTATTAAATGTTCGTCAAATATAACTGTTTGTATGGTGCCATTGTTTCATGAAACGACTGAATTATCAAGGGAATTTCTAAATGATTGATTGAAAGTTTGATTTTGCAGATGAAAAGCAGATGAAGCTTTTATTACTTACTCCTGAAAATTGTTCATTTTCCTATTGTTTTTTTAAAGAATGTGCTTGCCAAACTATGGAAAATTAGAATTCTCAAAGGAATTGCAAGATATTAGGCATTCATAGTTAACAAAAATTAAATCAGTTGGCTTCCATTTCTCCCTCGAAGACATGTCGAACATAGAGGAAAGCGCTATTGTTTGGGCGAGTGTTCCACAAAGTATTCAACAAAATGGGCCGCAACCTTATTTTGCGACTGGCAAAAAGACCGTGTGAACAAGAAAGCCATAAATGGGAGCCGCACCAGTTTCAGTTTCAAAAACAGCTAGTCATTCCAAGATGCTGACACTAGTCTTGATGACATGAACGCCGAGTCGTTGATTTTTTGGATGGTCAAATTCATGCAAGACGGGGCGCGAAGAAAAACGGCGAAGCTTATCTGAGGATCGAGTAAATCACGAGGAAACGAACATAGCTACGACATTGATTTTTCARTGTGTTTTTTTTTGTGTTTGATTGCACGCGAGTTTAGACATTTTGAATATTTTCAGGGGAGTGCGGGGCTGATTATTATTCAACGTTTTCCTGATACAGACCTAATTAATAAAACATTAGTTCTGTATCATTCCCCGCACTCCCCTGAAAATATTCAAAGCCGCCCCCAACTTTGAAGTTGCTGCACGTTTTATCCAACATAAAGGTATAATCACGTGATTAGATTCTCAGTATATCATTGGCTAATGACATTATGAATTATTAATGAGTTTGATAAGCGTATTCACAGTCTGATGAGAATCACTCTAATGAGTGCTGCCTAAAAATTTAATGAATACAATGCGATAACAAAGCATTTATTCAACCAAAACAAAAGTGATGCATGGTGCGATCTACATAAGCGTTGTAGTCCAAACGTAAAACGACATTTTTTGAAATAATCTTCGACCTCCACATGTATATTATTACCGTTTACGTGTATAAACGGGACCTTAATAGTCGGTAGAATGTAATGAACGGATATCAACAGGCAGGACGTATTTAACGCTGTCCAAGTTTCAAGTGCTTTTATTTTTCGCATATTTGTTTGTGTGCACTATAGGCAGAATCAGCACAATGGTCTTTACTTTTAGAATTTCTTTTATTTGAAGCCGAATCATCTACCTACCATCTTTGCTATCTTCGTCAAATAACACCACCAATTCATCGTATAGCTTTGCTATATAAAGCATCTTGTCGACGCAGGCCTGGGGTTTGTCGTTTGGCATATTTCATTCAATTTTCCACAAGAACACTTCCTGGAATGTGGTGAGGTTGAGTACGTATCTAAAGAGATAAATACATAGCATGCAATCGGACAGATTTGGCGTCACCATCGCTGGTTCATGCCAGAGTTGGGCTCAGCCGCATTTCTCTCAGAAAGACATGCACGATTTTTAGCAATATTTAGCTATTTGCCATGTACATTTTTCTGGTGTTCAAACATACTTTGTAATTGTTCTTTTGTTAACGTATTTTAACTCATAATTAGCATTTAAAAATAGGGTTATGCGAACACTCTCTATACATGATAAACGTCCTACAATTTTTGGCAATGCAAACCTCCGACAGGATCGATGCATATTTTTTTCAGTGCTGTATTGCAAAGAGGATATCACTTTTTTCTTCTTATCAAAGCTCATCTGCTGAAGTCATTTTTAAATGAAGGCGATTTTCAAAGGCTTACTTTGTGTTCAATCCATGAAGGCTATTGAATCAGTACTTTTCGTCAAAACAAAGTTCACAGCTCGTTAACTTCTTCTCGATACTATATGCTGAATTGCATATTATTGTGCATATAGTTTTTTTCTCAGTCAGCACTTCATTTTGCCCTTTTTGCTTATCTCACCAAGAAATAAAAAGTTTTTTTAACAATATAAAGTGCTTATGTTTTCATTGATTTTTCTAATTTAAGATATTATGATATGGCAAAATATCAATTCGACTTTTCAACAAATATGGCGRACAATTCAATTTCATCTATTTTTGCGCGCGCATCACGTTGCGATGTTACGATACATTTTTATTATCAAACACAGACAAAAGTTTAAAAAGAGGGATATTGCCTAGACAATACCCCTTTAACATCATGTTTCGTAATATATGTAATATTTTCTTTTCTTTTTAAGCCCCTAACCCTGAATCATCCGTGGCACCTCCAAATAATGAGTACAAGGTAGCCAATCAAAAAGATCTTTTTCCAAATTACAACTCCGACTGCAATACGGGACGGTTCTGTGCGAGAGGACATCTAACTCCAAACTCTGACTTTGCGACGTCAGAAGAACGTATAGAGACGTTTATCAACACTAATATAGCACCACAATGGCAGCTGTTCAATGGCGGAAACTGGGCTAAAGTTGAGGAAGCTGTCAGGGAATACAATGCAGGACAAAGTGATAAACAACACAAACATTTACTGTATATCTTTACAGGAACAGGTAATATTTTCAAGGAGCTTTTGTTGTAGAGTATCTTTTTGTATATAATCTATACAAAAACCATGTTGCAATATGTTGCTAATGGTTTTTTTAATACTTTTTCAAGCTGGTTTTGGAGGACAGCTAGATGGAAACGTAGTCGAAGTGAAGCTTAACAACAGAGTCTATGCTCCAACATACTACTGGAAGGTAGTCTGTGATCCCCAGGCTCCAACTCCACCGGGAGCCACCACAGGAGGACARTCAGTAGTCATAATGGCAGACAACAACATCGGTGATATCAGTGACATTCAGATTGAAAGCAAATGGAACCCAGCAAAGTTTCAGACGAAAAAGCGAGGTTTTATCCAATTGTATAGCCTGGATGAGGTAAACAAGATCTTCATGGTGAGCAATCTTCATCTTCCGCCCTTGGGAAGCCAATGTAACCCAGACAAGAGGGGGACGTTTTTGGACAGCGTACTTGATAATAAACTTACTTGAGTCTAAATGATATAAAAATATGCAGTATAACRRTATGCAGTGYGTAATAATAAAAAATGTTGTCATGAAATCATGATGAGAACAGTGCATGTTTTAGTCATTACTAACTTTGGGGATGCTTGTATCTTTTGAGAGAGGACCGAGATCTCGTCATATGAATCCTAGCGGGTCGAAAATTAATTTTTATATAATTTTACGAAACTTATTTCAAAGGGTCGTTCTCACGGAATAACCTCCTTCTAAGAACTATAAGCTTTAGTTCTATACCATGAATCTCTCTTGCAATCTAATACAATGAATTGAGAGAAAAAATAAAAAAATAAATAAATGAAAAATACGATTCTTTCAAGTTTTCCACAGTGTGTGTCACTGCTTATATTTCAATTTGCCCTCAAAAGTTCAATTATCGGTAGTACATCTGCTCTTGTGTGAAGAATGATTGAATTTAACCATCAAAAGAGACTAGAAAGTTAGTTGGTATAACGCCAAACTCAGAACTTAGGCGGCTCCTACAGAAGGATGTGAAAAATTCTGGACTGAAAATCAAGGTCGTAGAGAAAGTGAATGTAAACATCAAGGTAGTATTACAAAAATCGTATCCCTTCAAAACTCGATTCTACAGTAGAGATGATTGCTTGAATTGGTAGGAAATGGGTCGTGTAGAGCTGTCGTTGTTGTTACATATGAAATCAAATGCAAATCTTGTGGTGACAAGTATGTGGGTACACCAGAGGCAGAGAGCATCTTAAAGGTATGGACGCCGGTGGAGAAAGATCTATCCTGAAAGCCCACTGTACAAATAAACATGAAGGGGTTGTGCAGGACTTCGAGAACATACAGAGACGTTCGACGGGGACCTTGTGTTTTAAGGCAAATATCAGAGTCTGTACGGATAAAGCGACAGAGACTAAGATAAATGAACAATAAAAATGAATGGAATACTGTGCAAATACCACGAGCAAGCATTGAACTTTTGTAAGTTTGCTGTTTTTGCATRTAGTCTTACAATGTTTACTTTATTTAGTAATTAGTGTTAGCGCGCGCWCGTTGTGTTAAGCGCTTGCAGCTAGATTTTGTAAGTCCCCGTTGACACGGTGTCAGTTCCGTTCGGAACCGTTCTAGGTTTTTGGTCAGTTTAGGCGCGCGTTCACTCTGGAACTGGCCTCATCTCAGGGTGGCAAAGACTGCGTTCACACTGGGCCGGTTCCGTTCGGAACCGTTTTAGTTTAGGGGCGCGTTCACACTGTGCCTCATCTGAGGCTGGCAAAGCGTTCAGGTTTGGGAAACCTGTTCAACTTTGAGGACAGGTCACTTCGAAGCATGGACGGATCCGTGTGAACACTGATTCAATTCGTACCGAAATGTGGACGGTTCCGTGTAAACAGTGGGAACTGTCCTAAAACCGAGGTGTCCTCAAACTTGACCGGCCCCGCGTGAACATAGTCTGAGCGAAGTCAACTGTGCCAAACGTGCAATGATTGAAAAGGCCGTCAATAGACGAAACATGACAATAGTACAATCGGGATTGCAAAAAGGATCGAATTCTTATCATTTTGCTTCAAAGCTTGGCTAAAGTGATCCCTAAAGTATTAGTTTTCAACAACCAAGACTGATTCGAGGACTAAATTATCACTTCTAATGCCCTTTACTCCAAATTCAACGACTTTTCAAGAAAAATTTGCAATCATTGACTTTTCAAGACTGTACGAACACTGTTTCAGGAAACGTTTTTAAGAACACTTAAGAACACTTACAGGATGATGCATATTATAAACCTTTATATAAGAACCAAATCAGGCTGAACCACCAAATAGGTGTTCTTATACGCGGGTTTTTACTGTATGAACCATATATTGCCATTCGAGTGGGATGACTGTTCTATTTAGTATTTGCTTGCTATGCTATAAAATGTTAAGGCATAGTCCACAAAATTATTGCTTATGAGATAGAAAAGAACGAATTAATGCGCAGGCGTTTATAGCAGCGCGCGCTTTGTGGATTATCTGTGGTATTACTTCAGGCTTTTGATCCCTTGAGGTAAGGGATCAGACGATGTGCGCACTACGACCGCAGTGCATCATGTTAAAACCGGAAATTCACGCTCAGTTGCCTCAGACCACGGTACATTCAACATCTCTGAAGCGTAGCGAAAGGTCAACGGACGATACCATTATGGTGATTAAGTGTTTATTTCCCGGCAGTTTAATATTTTGAACGAAAAAAATATTTAAACATTAATTAAAAGGAAAGATCATAGCTATCGATGATTTGGGATGTCTCCATAAAGCCTTGTATAGATCAATACAAGGAGTGAATCGAGGTCAGGTTTAGCATTACTAAAGATTTGAGCGCGTAATCTGATGGTATTTTATTAAACTTTTATTAAACCCTGCAATTATTGCGTTTTTGTCAGCTAAATATGAATAATAACGAACAAATCTCAGTTTGAAACTCACCCTTCTTGCGACTTGATCCGCCATGTTTTTCATAGAAGCGAGGAATGTGAAGAAAATAGCGCATTTCGGTCGTAGTGCGCACATCGTCTGGTAAGGGATCATTGACGTAATACCACAGGTAACCCGCATTCTGCTAAGAGCGTGCGCTCATAACTGTACGAGCGTAAAAGCGTGTGCATTCGTTCTTTTCCTACCCTCATGCTATAGTTGGGCGCCTATGAGCAAACAAGTTGAAGATTGTTCGGTACAATACGATCTATAACTATGGTATAGCTTTAATTCCCTCCCCCCAAAACTAATTGAGAAACAAGAAAATTGACTGATAACAAGCAAGTTTGTTTATCCTTAGGTTTTTTTTATTTTCTTTTAACTCCTTTGCGTACAAATTTCTTTTCCGCAAAATATTTGTACAAATATACTAAATTAAAAATATGTACATATCAATGCACATGTATTATCATAAAATGTAATATCATTTGTATCCAATTATTTAATCGCATCTTATAATTGCTGACATGCAATTAAAACTGATTGCTACACCTACAAATGTCTTTAGACCTACTATCATTTTGTCTAAAAAAGAAAAAAAAAACAATAATAATGACTTCATTTATCTCCTTTGTTCAATTTGGRGAAACAATTTCAGTAAAACTAACAAGAGAAATGTCGCCTTCTCTTTCTTCAATTTGTCGAAAACATCTGAGCAGCTACGTCTGCTTTTCTTAAAAATACTAGTTTTTTCCTCTGGTCTGAATTTTKTTGCTCCATACTATATGAAGCAYARTACTAAACAGTTAATTCTGTACTAGCCTGCGTACGTAGCCGKGCGTTCCTAGCCGCTCCGAAAGAGAAACCAACTCCGGCCAAAACTCTTTCGGAGCGGCTAGGAACGCCTGGCAACGCAGACTAATTACAGCCACAWGAGAAGAGTTTCACTAAATATCCAGTCTGCAGAAACAGGTCCATGAACCTGAGAGATATTATTTTCTTTTCCTCTAGTATTGATCATTGAAAAATATACAATAATCGTAAGCACTTAGGTGATGGCCTAGTCTATATTACTTCGTATTCGTTGGTGGCACTTCAGGGCCCCTTTTCTTGTAGCATTGACTTTGATGCTTCAGAGCAGTGTAACATTTCTTARTCTAGCTATATTTTTATGACCACATGTACAAATGTTGATTTTTGATATTTGAGGTTAGGCAAACGAATCTGCAAAATCACCATCATCAGAGTTCTGAGAAAGGGAAAAAAAATGATAGTGAGATATTAGCTAACCAAAAAGAAAGAGTATTGATTGTGTTCAAAAATATTGCACCAGACACTCACTATATTAGGTGAAAGTCCTTGGAGGCTAATGTCGTTGCTGTTTTTTTTTTTTTTTTTTCCTTTTTAAATGATCATACAGCCAGCCCCATCAGTTGTAAAGACAAAAACAAAGTCAACAAAACAAAGTCATAAGCACAAAAAAGTTTTGAAAATTACCATACAGATAGCGTCCATCAAATGTTATTGACAAAGTTTTGATACATGCAAATGACGTTGTTGTTGTGTTTTTGTCTTTACAACTGAAAAACGTTAAATGATTGACTGTATGAATAAGCGTGAGTTAACACAACAGAAACCGTAGCATCTTGTCTTTGAAAATCAAATGAAAGTGTTGGGATTTGGGTTTTTCTGGAAATTGGGGAGGAGCTTAATACACAAACCATCCAGTGACTGAACGAGTCTAAGAAGAGCTTTTCCCCAAAGATCACAGAAATTTAAAAGTGTGAAATAGACTTTAAAACAAATCGTGGTTTTCTTTGTGTATCTCGCACATTCCCTATGTTCCCSGTGTTATATCCTAAAACGCTCACCTTAGTTAAGTTTAACGCCATTTTTCCTTCCTTGCCATCCCTTTTAGGGCTAACAGCAAATGGATCGTTATTCAGACTTCCTTTGTCAGCAAATGGATCCACAGAATCCAAAAATGGATCATCCGTGGTGGAGAACCCGGAGAACACATCTTTGCCATCAGAGGCAAACGGATCAACAGTACTTTTATTTGTTGTAAAATCGGCAAAGGGATCAACTCCACCAAAATCTGTCTTAAAGATGTCTTCAGACCCTGCTTTGGTTGCAAAGGGGTCTGAGAATAAGTCAGCATTGTTATGATTACCAGAATCGATTTTATGTTCATCACTTTCAGATACAGYAATAGAATTGAAGTCAGTAAAAAAGGCATCACCGAATGGATCAGATTTCTTAGAATTTGAGTCATTTTCTTTCTTTATGTTTTGAGATGTACTGCTAGTCCAGTCTGCTTGCCAAGAGTTTTCAGAAAAAATGAATGGATCARCGATTGCATTCTTTGCTGATGTAGAATGTGCTTCAACCTTTCCACCTTCAAGGTCAATCCTCGGCGGAGGAGCTGGAGGAGCACGTTTTGGTGTCCCAGTCTTTGCTGTAGGAGTGCCTGTAGACCCCACAGCGCGTGGTGGTGTTGGAGGTATTTGTCCCACCAGCGGACTAGAYTGAGTCCTTGGTCTGGGTGGAAGTGAAGGCAAGGGAGCCATAGTTGGTCTAGGAGGAAGTGGTGGAGGAGCTGTTGGAGACTCTTTCCCTCCAGTTGTTTTGCTAGGTAATATTGGTAAAGTAACTGGCCTAAAAGGTTCACCTTCAGCATCTCTTGCATCTTCTTTGKGAGGTTCTATTATCTGTGGTATAGAACTACAAACACCCTTGTTTGGTTCTTTGGCTAGCTCTGTATTTTCCTGGTCAACAGTCGTGTCACTCTCTAAATCTTCAATATCTGCAAGCTTTGGTTTTGCTACATTAATTCCCGGTTCACTTGACTGTWCTGATTCAATCTCTTCCTCATTGATRGCTGATTCCTCTTCTTTAGTTTCTTCCTTTGCTTTAATTTCACCATCATTTGCCTTCTCAGGACTCAAAATATCACCAAAATCAGCCATTGGGAAATTACTGCTAATGTTYATACCGAGTTCATTCTTTTCTTTCACATTTGTAGATTTGTCCGATTGAAGAGTGTTGGAATTACTAAAATTGGACGCTGAKAAAACGTCATTTGTTTTATTATTGGTGTTTTCATCTGTTTCATTTGTTGGAGGATTTGGTTTCATTGGACTCAATATATCATCAAAATTGGCCACAGTGAAGGTACCATTGCTCTTAACACCAGAGTCATTTTTTGGTTGGGGAGGTTTAAATGGGGTTGATGAAAAAGCATCGGTAAAGGCATCTTCATTAATATTGTCTGTCTGTCCGTCTTTACTGTCAAGATCGCCATTTTTGCTGTCCACATGTCCACCAAATGCATCATCCCACGAAAAAGTGACTTCCTTTTGAGACTGGTCTTTGAAGGCATTAGTCCAAGAGAAATCAGGCTCTGCTGCTGTGTCATCTGGCTTTTGATTTCGATCTTGCTCTTCTACATCAAACTTTGCTCCAAACGAGTCATCAAAAGAGAAAGACACTTCTTTTTTGTCTGTCTTTGTAGGCTCATCATCTTTCTTATTAGGTTCACTGTCTTCAAATACTGTACTCCAAGACGAATYAGCTTTCTTATCATTGTCACCAAGTTCTTTTTTGTTATCGTCTCCAAATGCATTGCTCCATGACAAATCTTTCTTAGTACCATTTGAAGAGTCTTGCTTAATTGATATGTCTTCTGTTGGTTTGGATTCACGAGATGACATTGCAGTTGTACTGAAGGACGAATCAAATGCAATGCTAGAATCCAAGGGATTATGGTTTGTGTGATTGTTAATATCCTCTTTAGTTTTCTCAGTGTTTTCCTTTGGATCAAATGGAGACATTTTATCTCCGCCAAATGCTGACTCAAACGCATCACTAGAAGCAAAAGCATCTGTTGTCTGCGATTCTTGGGCAGCGGTACTGAGCGTAGGAGCAAACGGATCATCTACTGGAAAATCAGTAATTGGAGCACTAGCAGTTTTATCATCAAAATTACTTGAAAAGAAATCATCATCATTACCAAAAACTGCAGAAGATGGTGGACTTCCTTCAGATTTTTTCAGTGATGGCTCAGAACCAAATGGGTTAACCTCATTATTGCTTTTCTTTTCTGCTTCAAAAGGAAATGATTCATCCTCACCAAATGATTCCTTAAAACTGAACTCCCCGAAATTGACCTTTGTGTTAGTTTTTTCTGTTTTTGTCAGCAGGTCTGAAGGAATAGTTTCATAATCTGTAGACTCAATTGTTTCATAGTCTGGGTCCTCGTCTTGTGTGGTTGATTTTATTTCAGACGAGGCAGGAGCCTGTCCAACTGATGCATGCACTGTGGGAGGGTGACTACCTAAAGCTTGCCCAGAAGGAGTACTTGGCGCAGCAGTCCTTGCTCGAGGGGCAGCTGGTGGGGTAGTAGAAGCTGCACCTGATTTTAACTCTAAACTCCTGGAATCAAACGAWGCAGTTTCTGAAGTGGATGAAATTGATGATGATATTGACCCTTTACGAGTGACATCAACTGATGACTCTGATACATTGTCTTGGTGATCTGTAGATGAAAACACTGTTGTGCTAAAGAAATTCTCAGAAGTTGCCCCGTGATCCTGATTGGATATCGAGTCTCCACTATTTTCTATGGTTTTTCCTTGAGATGATGCTGAAGAGTAGGGAGCTGGAGGCAAAGGTCTCGGAGTTGGAACCTATAACAAGATTYCATACATACATTCTATTTTCAAATTCTAAAAAAACAATCATAACAACATCTAGTGGACCTTTTATGGTCCTCACGATTTTTGCAAYRCGATTGTCGCGGGACAATAGCCACTTCGCTATCACGCAACTCTAATCCTAYGTGYAAACAGTCCTGCGAGTGTTGCGGCGATCGTTGCACAACTTAATTGCAAATTGATAAAWAGTGCGWWATTGAAATCTCACTAATATAGCAAATGTTTTKGCAGCCCGGTAGGGATTGCAAWTTTTTTCAGATTTTGAAGCAAAACCGCCGCGAAGTTGYAGGTAAATTTCTACAGCCCTTAATCTGTTGTATATCATTATTTTATGGTAAAGACGTACACCAAGGAGAGACGGGGTACCTTATAGTGTGTCTCATCCTCTTGTTTAGTAACAGTTGAAGATGGTTCCTAAGAAAGCAAATGAATAATTATGATGGCAATCTGTGCATGACTTAGTTCCAACATTGCTGGAAACGGCAACACATAAACATAGAATGAAGGAGAGTCTATACAAAASYAACCTTCATAYACATGTACCARATAATACCATTTAAGCMCCTGTATCGCCATGGATGCTTTACAATTATTTTGTTTTTGCTTGGTTTGAGTGGTTTATCTACACGAGCTTTGAAGCTTGAGTTGCCGGTGCCGGTTTATGCGCTATATTTTTGCTTCTTGCTTCATTGAAAGCTCAGCAAGTTCTTAAAATCCTCTCAATGGCCAGAAATAGACATCTCAATACTTTCTCGTGTAACACAAAATTATAAAGGCGTGCATTACATCCAGGGTGATGCAGGGCAATTTAGTAAAAAGGAAAACCCYAGAAGATTAATTTYCATATCAATCCGCACCAGACTGCATTTTTCTATTAACTTTCTTCATAATCATTCAATTTTCTCCCTTCCATTTCTTCCTAACATTTATCCCATTAAATTTTGTTTCTCTTCAGACAGGTTCCTATGTTCTTAGACTGSCMTCCACTCCATGCTCAAAATTCCTTGGTTCCTGTTCTCAAATTCCAGATTTTAGGCTTCATATCCAGAAGCCAATAAATTTTGAAAATAATCATCTTAATACTATACGTATGCGCGATTKCTGTTACCTTGTTTACACTATTGCTACTATATTTGACATTCACAGCCATACCTCATAAATGTTAGTGTCTTCCATGTTAATTGTTTCACTGGGTCCTAAAGATAGTAGACAATGCATATTAACTTATAATCACACTAAAGTAATGCAGTTGTCATTATCAACTCCTGTGTTTACTGTTTGACTACTCAGGCATACGTAATTTCTTTGCATTTTCAAAAAAAGGAATCCCAAACAACATCAACACCACCACCGCCACCACCACCAACACCAACAAGATTACTGAAAAATGTTTGATATTTTGTATAATGTGATGCTGGTTATGAGTGATGGCAAAGTAGCACTGAATTTAAGCTTAAAATGCAATGTTACAACTACTGCAATCACCTAGATTCATGCCRTCAACTACTGCAATGACACAGTATTAATGCAATGTTAAAACAACAATGCTAAAAAAAATTCAATGGTCCAATTAATTAAATGTTCTAATTTTAATAAAATGTTACAAYCCAGAACTTCAATCCATCCCTTAATGTACAAAGTATTACCAATGACTACATTTGTAAGATTTCACCCCTTAAAATATTTTCTWAAGTGAAATACCATTTGACAGTGTAGCATTGTTTGCAGGGACATGACTATTCTGTGGTAGGGGTTGGGGTCCCTGTTGTGCCTTCCGTTGTTTTAAAGCAGCTTCTTGTCTTAGCTTGAAAACAGCTTGAAATAGGTCATACAATGTTGACGTTATGATGCCAGCCTATAAAGATAACAACCAACATGTCTTTGATCAACATCATGATAGACAGAGACTTGGGCTACCTGTGTCATACATGACGTCAGGTAAGACTAYATCAATACTCCATCTTGAAAGGTAACCAAGCCTTTGCATCAAAGTGAGACATRAGTTGAGCCTGCAGTGATGGATACCTTTTGTTCACACTTAAGACAAAACTCCATTTTACAGTTCCAGGCGCCATCTTGAAACGTAGCCGAGCCTTTGCATCAAAGCGAGRCAGTAGTTGAGCTTGCAGTGATAGATACCTGTGAATAATTGTCTTAGGTGTGWACAAAAGGTAYCTATCAYTGCAGACTCAACTCCTGCCTCGCTTTCATGCAAAGGCTTGGCTACCTTTCACGATAGCACCTGGAACTGTAAAATGGAGTATTATTCACAGGTATATCTATTATATTTGAAATCTATTATTAGAATCTCAACTTCTGTCTCRCAATTTTGAGCTTCCAATATGAAATACTTTTTGCATCAAACGGTTTTAAAAACTCTTACTGATTATATGAGTTATTTAATGCTTTTGCCACTCGGTATCTTTTAATGCTAATATCTCATAAACTATTGCATGTACAAAGACCTCAAACTTTCGTTGGTTTATAGCTATTAAACCCTTTTATGTYATGAACTAGCCTACTCCACAGGCATCACAAAGAATCACAGGCTTCCTGTCTTTTTTCTTATCACTAGTAACAAGATGACCGCTACAAAGGAAGCCCAAAGGAGGAAAAAAGAGTTGCTTGGGGAGGAGGCTAGTTATGAAAACTTATTTTCCCCATTTTTTTWAATTTAAACTTTATGCTATAAGCAAAATTTTGAAACAAATATCTGCCTAAATATGACATTCACTGTGATATGCTGTAAACCTGTGCATAGAAATGTTTTCAAGCCAAAGTCATTATATTATGGTATACTTACCACTTTATCATATTTGATGGCATACATCATGTGACCAACACTACCAGCTGAACACTTGGCACTGCTGATGAAACTAAATATTTTTTTGTCTTCTGGATCATGGGTGATGAATGACACCTTGTTAACTGGATGTTCAAACATGATGTTCTGCAATAACAACAAAACTCTATTTAGCTGAAATTGTCTGTTTTTCAGCTCTTAGTTTTTGCCCTGTCTAGAGATGCATCATCATTTTCCGCTTACTTTTGTTTTTTCCTCCAATATTCTTATCCCCATAAGAGACACATTTAAAATAATCTTCATTTTGTGTTCACCACTTTGTCTTTGATGAGCCTGCAAGAAAACAAACACTATTAAGTAATGGTCCGAGTAAGAAGCAGGCAAGCAAACGGCAATGGAATGCATGAAGGTGCTAATTTTGTATTGTATAATCCATCCATCTCATTGGTTAAAACATTAAATTTGACCTAATTTCAAAAGTAAGCACATTTTTTAAATATTTTATTTAATATCTGATTCCGACTTCATAAAAGCTTTCCTTAGCTTCAATACGTGGAACAAAGCATTTAGAAGCATTTTTTGGCTATTGTTTTGAGTACTTATGATTGGACAAGATCTTTTAATACAAAAGAAACTTTGTTTCAAAACAGAGTTTATTCACATTTTATTTTAAAAATGTGTTACCCATAGGTTGATATATAATCAGAGTGAAGACCAAGACATTTGTATGTGGGGAAGTTGCAATTKCCGCAGAACAATAGAAAGTTGTCTGCTTYTTGTGCGCACTGTTACTTAAACCATTATATAATTTTCGGGAAAATTTCAGCCAGRTTTAAAATAGCAGAGTAGAATTTAACTAAAAATACTTCACTTCCTGTGTGCATAATTTAGTCATGCAAACACACAGTTTACAGCCATCTTGAAATAAGCCATAAGTAACAAAGGGATCGGGTAATCTTCGAGTTACGCGATTCGAGTTACGCGCTTCGAGTTATGCGCTTTTCGAGTTACGCGCTCGACCACGCCCAAATTTGCCTCGGCCACGCCCAGCACATAACTCGATGCTACTAACATACATTAGTGTCTTCGAGTTACGCGCTTTTAAATTAAAATCAATATAAAAAAGAGCTCCTTGCTTTTACGGCTTTTATTTTTGAAGCAAATATATATAGAATATGAAAGTATGTCAAGTTTTAAAATTACAAATGGCAGCCCTTTTAGGCTGCTCGAAAATGTTTGAAAATGTTTGAGTTTTTAAATTTGGTCTCCATATTCTGAAAGTGCATGATTTAAAATTAATGCATCCTTGCTCAATATGAGACTCTTATAGTCTTTTATAGCGGATATACAAGCGATTTTATCRTCGGGTGACTACATACGAACGCTTGTAAATTTGGTCGCGTTCTTTTCGTTGTGAACGAGCCTCAATTACAAAGCGTTTCAGTGGTAAGCCGACCATAAAATCGCTTGTACATGTATCTCCGCTATAAAAAGTATTTTTGTGAGTACTCTATAGGTAAATATGTTATAGCTTAGCTAATATTTCACAGTCAGTTATTTTTAATACACTATTCACAACAACTTATTGCGTTCACATTGATGAAATAGATACTTCTATGATGTAAGRGTCGTCTATCATTCGACCTTTGATAGAAAGATAAATTGGAATATCACGTACACCAATATGTACGTCTTTTTTAAATCGACCAACAGAAATGGCTTCTCTTTATCTTCACAACGCAAGTTAAWTTTTATTTGCTAAATTCTGTGTCCGTCCTCAATTAACCCACGAGGGGCTTTCGAYGTATCATTAATCGGATGTCAGTACACAACCCACATTGATCTCCATTGATATCATGCATCATGATACAAATGTCCGAAGAAAAGTCATTAATGTTTTCCTTTTAGTTCTGTCACCTCCAATTATAGAAATATATTCAAAAATACATCGTTGAGTGACTTTGTGAAGAAATGGCGTGATTCTGTTCATTTAAATTGATTTTCATTTAAAAGCGCGTAACTCGATGCAACTAACATACATTAGTTGCATCGAGTTACGCGCTAGGCGCGTAACTCAAAGAAACTAATGTATGTTAGTTGCATCGAGTTACGCGCTGGGCGTGGCCGAGGCAAATGTGGGCGTGGTCGAGCGCGTAACTCGAAAAGCGCGTAACTCGAAGCACGTAACTCGAAGATTACCCGCCCTCAGTAACAAAAGGACAAAGATGATAATTTGTGAAAACTTGTGATATTCAGAAGCATTTTTCAAGAATATCAATGCCGTTGAAGCAAGTGCATATAGAAAAGAGTACTTGATGTACACATGTAATTAATTTCAAATATAAGTAGATAATACATGTAGTTATGATAGGATAAAACACCAGCTTTTGGCTTGAATTCTCTGTTTTTATTGAGCATTTCGGCCTTTTTGGTATTCTTCAGCAAACACTCTATTAAATATATAATTTCATACACTTCCTTCCAATGCAAACATTTGATTGACAAAGTTTCTTTAACTCCCATGCAAGTCATATGACCAAGTTCTTAAACTTCATACAATACATTCATTGTACTGTGTACATGACTTTCTATGACGTCACACTTGAGTAAACTAATTAATATTCAACCCTGAGGATGRCTGACATGGCTCACTAGACTGAAAGCTCAGACATTCTTGGTATTCACAATGTTGATGATGAATCAAATTGTTAATATTATGAAGACATACAACAGAATACTGAATTATTAAATGAATCTGAACATCATGTGCAATTATACACCATGTTTCTTACTTTTGAAAACTTTTTKATTTTCAATTTAATAACAATATAATACCATGTTTTGACTGTATGAATATACTAGGATTAAATATTATATATTAGCTGAATGCTATGAATCATGGATAATTACAAGTTATGTTAAAAGTCCGACAATATAAAGGACTGGACTSAGGATTTCAAGTCCGCGCAGTTAGTTCCAGTCGGACTACTTCTCATACTCCTTAATCATTTGGGAGGGGAAA